GAGCAGGCAGACTAGGGAGCCATGGCGGAGCAGGCAGACTAGGGAGCCATGGCGGAGCAGGCAGCTCGAGGAGCCATGGCAGAACAGGCAGTTCAGTGGGCCATGGCGGGGCAGGCAGCTCGGGGAGTCATGGCGGAGCAGGGAGCTCAGGGGGCCATGGCGGGGCGGCCTCCGTGGCCTGGGCCTCGGCAGTCGGCCCGGCCTCTACGGCCAGAGCCCCGTAGCCCCCCCCCCCAAAAAACTACAAGGAACATAATTCCTTGGGGAAAATTTTGGGTTGTGAGGCCCTCAGTGGGCCAGCTGTAGGAACAATGGCCCTCCCTGGGCTTGACTCGGGATCAGCGGCCCTCCCTGGGCAGTAAGTGAGAACAGGAGCCCTCTCTGGGCTGGATTTCTGAACAGAGTCTCTCTCTGGGCTGGATGTGGGAACAGAAGCCCTCTCTGGGCTGGACGTGGGAACAGGAGCCATTTCTGGGCTGGTTGTAGGAGCAGGAGCCCTCTCTGGGCTTAACTTGGGAACAGAGTCTTTCTCTGGGATTGACTTTGGAACTGGAGCCCACACTGGAGCAAGCTCAGGGGCTGGAGCCGACACTAGAGCAGACCTTCCCTCCAGCTCAGTCCAGTGGTGTCTGGGAGGTCCACGGGGCGATGGTAATTGGCCCCGATCCAGAACAAAGAATTAAGTATGGCATCGTCTAATGCCGTCATAACGGCGAGCCCGCAGAATTCCCGGGCGAACTCCACGAAGGGAAGATCCTTGCGGGCTGGGGTGACGAATCTCATGGCGGTTTCCAGAACCATGGGGAACGGAAAACAAAACTTTCAAAAACGGAAACAAAAACAGGGAGAAGGGGCGCCGCTTACTGTTTGTTAGGTCAGGTCTTCTGTCAGCACTCTGTGTCGGAGAGACGACGGAGATGTGGATCAAACAAACAGTCTTTATTAATATCCAGAACTAAGGGGAATCCACACTTGGAAACAGCAGAGACACACGAACATGACATTAAGACCTGACAAACAGAGACTGAACAGACCGGGGCTTAAATACACAGGATAACGAGGGACTAATGACAAGACACACCTGAAATCAATGAACACAATCAACACGAGGGAGAAACTAGGTCACAGAGCACATTAGGAGAAAAACACAACAAACACGGGAACACAGGGCTGAAAATCATCACAATATATTTTTATAATAAAATAAATAACAGTTATAAATACAAACCAATAAATATGGTTTATATTTATGATTTATTATTTGGTGTCATAATTGTATTTTTACAGTATCTCATGCTTCGCTTGATTTTAGAACTGTAAATTGTCACATCAAGGGATTTGCCTTCACACACACACACACACACACACACACACACACAAAATCATGTTTGAAATCATTCTGTGGAAAATAAACATGCCTTCAGTCTTCCTGTGAAAACAGTAAATGTCTAGATTAATGAGGCCAACACCTGCGATCTGAAATAAGGATGAGCGACACTGAATATTGATGACATATTCACTATAATTTGGCTGATGACATGAAATTAACACATTTCTTTGTGTTTTTATTTTGTATTAATTATTATTATTATCAGGGCCGCCACTATGGTTTCTGGGACCCCTCTCCCTCGTCGGGCCCTTGGAATTGTCCTAACCTTCCCCCCCATACGACGTTCCTGATTATTATTATTATTATTTAATTATTTATTTGCTATTACATATGCTAAAGAGCGTGTCATTAGAATCATTTGCTTGCAGTTTTTTACGCTGCAAAGGCGGCTCAGAAGTGGCATCTGAGGCGATTCAAATCAGCAAAAGACACATTTACAGACTGTGCAGCACGAAGGAGACGTACATGCATTTACACAGAAATTCCAATAGCAGAATGTTGTTATTACATTATACACTTGAATGTAAATGTGAAATTATAAAAATTAAAGGAATGGAAAAAACTATAAATGATAAATATGTAATCTGTCACAACATAAGTCAGGCCTTGCAAATAATATTTTTTATTGTGTTAATTTACCTAAAAAATACTGTTGAAAATATTCCCTGAATAATTCCAAAGATTTCTACTGTATTTTATAATTTATGTATTTTAAAGCTTTTTTTTTTACTCAAGATATACGTTTTTTTTTATAATCAAGATATACATTTCCCTACAGAATATCGCCCAATCTTAATTGTACTAGTTATAGCACAATTATTTTAATTATATAATAGAACAAAATAGAATCAGATTGCAAGCTGCTAGTTTGCATGTTCAGTACCACTTGATTATATTCTGTGACGTAATGGATGTTATTGATGGTCATGAAGCGTGCGAGTCTATCAGCATCAATTTTCTTGGCCTCTGAGAGCTTCAGGTGTTCCTGATGAAGATCAGCCTGTAACACACACGCACGCACGCACGCACGCACACACACATAAGAGACATGAGAGACACACATACACACACGCACACACACGCACACAAGAGACATGAGACACACACACACACGCACGCACGCACACACACACATAAGAGACATGAGAGACACACATACACACACGCACACAAGAGACATGAGACACACGCACGCACACACACGCACGCACGCACGCACACACACATAAGAGACATGAGAGAGACGCGCGCGCGCACACACACGCACGCACGCACACATAAGACATGAGAGACACACATACACACACGCACACACACACACACGCACACAAGAGACATGAGACACACACGCACGCACACACACACGCACGCACGCACACACACACATAAGAGACACACGCACACACACACATAAGAGACATGAGAGACACACACGCACGCACACACACACGTGTCATTCATCCATCATATTACGATGGTGGGCTATATTCAGCACATGTATCTCAGACTCAGGTGTGCTGAGGTTGCAGGTGTTTTACCTTCCTGAAGATGGAGATGGTGTCGGAGGTGATGCCATATTTGGCCCAAACTTCCCTTTCACTGCACAGAGCAACAGGAAGTGTCTCCATCTGTTTAGCAGCAGCCAGAAACTCTTTATATCCGTGAGCAGCTTCAGTCTGAGGGAAAGACAGCAGACCTTCATCACAGACATAAACACTGTTCATACATGAGCGTCAGTCCACGGTCATCATTCGGAGAGCTGCGGCTCAGATTCAGTCGGCTGCACCCATGTCTGTTTATGGAGCGCTGAAGGTGCCAATCCCACAATCCCAGAGACGCCACACACTTCCTGCTCCATTCCTCCTCCGCATCTAGAGTTGGGCCAGAGGACACGGCCCACACACACACACACACACACACACACACACACACACACACACACTCA